CACACAAACCCTTGTTGACGGCCCAGGGCACATTACAAAAGAGGCAGGCGTATATGTCCTAACAGTGAGTCATCATCAAGCAGCCTGACCACGGGGTGACCCAAGACCTGGGCAAGGCAGTCAGAGGCGCCTCACCCGCTCCGCGTCCTAGGAATGTACCATTCTGCCGACCGTAGCCGCAGGGGGAGTCACAGCCTCGCGAGACCATCTGCAGCCTCGCGAGACCATCTGGACAGACTACAGGAGTGACCCCAGGCTCGGCGTCTACACAGAAACGTTGAAGATTCTAGAACGCAGATGCAGAAAGAAACGTGCCTTTTGCCCCCAAGACAAGCCTCGTGTATTTGTCCTCTCGCTTCGTAGAACTGCCGCCTCCCAACCCGGAAGCGGCCTCGCGCCCATCGCCCCCTGCCCTCCCTCGGTGCATGGAGGCCACTTCCGCATGTTACCTGGGGAGCTCCCCAATTTGGGGACCAAAAATGTTATTCCAAAAGATAGGTGTATTTTGTCTGCATGCTCCGTTATAGGGCCTAATAACTGGAACCTCAGTCATTTAAGCGGCTTGGCCAAGGTTACATAGATACCAGCGTGGACTTGAGGCCTGAATTCTGATTTGCTCACTTCCGGTCCCCTTTCTTCTCAGCGTCAGGGACCACCGAGCGCAGACCTTCAGGCTCTACCTGTGCACAGGCGCATCCTGGACCCACATCCACAGTGAGTCCCAGGGCCAATCTGAAATCCGGTTTGGGGAAGGAGAAGCCAAGAGAAAGGCCATTAGCTTGCAGGGACAGTGTCACCCGTAACTTGTGCCGCATCTACCAAATAAATATTTAAAGATCGTCTTTTTGTGTGCCCAACATTCCAAACCACTGCGTGTTACTGTACAGATTCTAGCCCAACTTATTTGTGTGACAAAAGGTTGTGATTCAGGGTTCTCCTATATTTGGAAGGGAACCTTTTCCGTTTGTGAATGTCTTGGAACTCTCACCAAACCAGCAAAGCCTGGACTTGCGGGAGCTTATTTCCTGAACGCCATGGTCCAATAAAGACGCATCCCCTCTCCTGATGGTTGCAATGCCCACCCTCCCCCCAAACAACAACAACAACCAAAGGTATGTCTTGGATTGGTTGACGCAGATGGGCACAGAGCAGCATCCAGAGAGGATGCCCTTTGGAGCATTAATTTTCTCCTTAAGTCAGGCCATACAAGGAATCGTTCAGCTAGCTAGATCAAAAGCTCTTTTTAAAAATATATATTTTATTGATTTTTTACAGAGAGGAAGGTAGAGGGATAGAGTTAGAAACATCTATCAGCTGCCTCCTGCACACCCCCTACTGGGGATGTGCCCGCAACCAAGGTACATGCCCTTGACCAGAATGGAACCTGGGACCCTTCAGTCCGCAGGCGGAGGCTCTATCCACTGAGCCAAACCAGCCAGGACTAGACCAAAAGCTCTTCAGCAGAATTCAGACCTGCTTTGGAAGCTGCCAGAGGGGACACACCAATGCGAGAGCCACAGCCAGAGCCAGTGCCACACCGGCATGTGCTAGAAGACTGCCCTCCTTCCCCCCAGATGGCAGGGCCGGCCTGTGTTCTCTGAAGTTCTGATGCAACCTGTGCAACCCATGACCTTCTTAAGTGGAGCCCCTCTGCGGGCCCACCCATGGGTGAGACCCAGGCCCCAGGTCTGTGAACTGGGAGTGGCTTCTTGGCTTCTCAGTCAGTAGGCAGAGCATCTCACAGCCTGAGAGAATGCTCAAGGCAGTCATGGGGAGTAAAGACTTAGGTTGGAAGGAAGCCCTTGCTAGGAGCCAGAGAAAGAGGAAGTTCCCTCAGGGCTGAGCAGCCGGCTCCTCCCCCTGCCAAATTTTTAACTACACATTTCCCCCATTTAAATCAGAATTGGTGATACCTATACAAGTGTGTAGTGTTTGAAAATTGAAAATCACATCGAAAAATAGCGATATTGTTGACTATACAAGGCAATGTCTTCAAATCGAGTAATGCTGCGATGTGTGTGGTTAACCGTAACTACGCAGGAAGTGGTTTTATTTAAAAGTTTTTGTGCTCACCCCCACCCCCTCCTTTTTTTTCTTCAGTTCTGAAATTAAACAGCATCCAACATAGGCCTACTCTTACGACATGTGACTTCACTGTTTTCCGTTTTTGCTGAAAGAGTCATTAACAGTAACAAGTTGATGGCAGTTTCAATAACAAGTCATCACGGAGGAAAGGTAAGTGAGTTTTAACTTTATGTTGAACATGAAATTTAAACTGGAAAACATTTGACAGATTATCCTAAGCTTTGGTGTGAACATACAAACATTTCTACAAAAAGGTGATGTTTTCGCCTGTGATTGAAACGTAAGTTTGTTTCCTTTGGTGCAGGCAAGACTATTCTTTTCATATTTGCAGCTGTCAAATTCTCAGCTTCTTTGAGATATTATACTCAGATCCTTTACTCAGATTTCCTAGTAAAATATTAAAGACAAAACAAGGTATATTTTTAGTTTGAAAGTGCTTTTTAAAAATAATTACTAGAGAAAATGTGAAACTTTGCATTTATAACTGGTTTTATAAAAATATGTACTATTTGAGATCCAGCAAATGAAAGAAAAAAGGCATTTTAACAATAAGAAATAACATCTGGATTGCAATGTGAGAGATACTGTAAAGTGCTGTAATAAAGTTAGCACTAGAAACCCTTGAAAAGGTGTAGGTCATTAAATGAGTAGTTTATTAAATAGCTATTAAAAATCAGCAAAGTTTAAAATGCAAAAGAAAGCTCTGTACTGTGACATTTGGATGTATTTTTTTCTAAATTTTAAGTGAAATGAAATGAGTGCAAGTGAAATGAGTGCAAGTTTTATTTCATAAGCAAAACTGTATGTTTAAAGCAGAAGTCACAGCTCACTTCACCGAAGGTTACTTCTGGGGAAAGAGGCAAATTAGCGATATACTTTTGTTATTTATGTAATTATATAATTTTCCTTCCTTGAGATTTTCCAAAATAAAAACTCTAGTAATAAAAAGGTTTTCTTAATCATAAATTGACAAGAACTTTTATATTGACTTCTTGCTTTTAGAGAATGTCTGTGTGTGCTGTAACATATGTACAAAAAATATGAAAGTGTTGCTAATCTCAGAGACAAATACCTGAAATAAATCTGACTGTAGATTTTTGAAAGAATTTTAATAAAAGCCCCCGATATGATCCACTCTTTTCTAATATTATTTTTATTGTGCTGTTGGATGGGGGAAGAGATGACCCCCACAACACCTATATTTTTGTGTTATTAAAAATGGTTACAGGGTTGATAAGTGGCAACAATTTTCTTGCCTTCTATTGAAAGACATATATAAATGTGTGTTTTTTTATGTGGTCAAGTTAGCAGGAAATTATTAGGCATACTAGTACACTCCATTTTAAGACCTCTTCAATTGTCAATACTGAAGCTTGCTACTTGTTAACTTAAAATGATCACAAAAAAAACAAATTAAGACTTGGTGTTCAATACATTTTTTATTGTTAGAATGTAAGAAGACCTTGGTAATATGAATTTGCTTTGATATACTGATTAGCTTTTTAATTTGTTGCATTACCTCACAATGGAAAACATTATTTAAATCTGCCTTCAATATTGTGGTTCTGACCCTCTGTATCTATAGAAGCTGTGTAATTCAGATAGTTTGAGTTGATATGTTATTACTTTATTTCATTCTACTATAAAAGAACATTGCATGAATAAACATATGTAATGCTTACACATTAGAACAAAATGAATATCCACATAAGCATTTCGTACTAAAAAAAAAAAAGATCAGTATAGTTTTTTAGACTATGTAATATTTTAAAGACCAAATTCTCTGTAAAACAATGGTTTCTTGCAGAAAAAATTAAAATAAAAACATATTATGGGATATATGTAAAATTAAGAATTAATTAAACATAGCTTAGCATTCTAAAGCATAAAGAACAATAAGTAGTACTTATAGACATGTAAACTAAAATACACTCAGAATTGCTTGTAAAACAAGTAATGTATTATCTCTTGAATATACAGACCAAGTCTTAAGAAGCAATTCCAAATGAGTTACTGTAGGTTACTATACCTTTATACATTTTAAGTGAATAAATAAGAAATGCATTTTGGTGAAATAACAGCAATGCAGAGGATCTCATTTGGAGAGTTAGTTCAAAACTGATTTATTAAAAGAATATCATTCTTTTCCACTTGGGGCCAGCACTCAGCAATGATCAGAAAGGAAACATGCTTTCATTGATATTCCTCCTCTTCTTTTTTAAGGGTCTGTTCTGGAGTGGCCTACTCTGTCCCTCATTTAGAATACCCCAGCCTTGGTACCCAGAGGGATGGGCCTCACTTTGCTCATGCCATCCCACTCCCATTGTCCTTAAAGATCTACTCAGCCTTTTTCTCAGCATTGAGAGCTTCTGATAAAAGTTGTCCATGCTCACAGGAAAAGGTCATAGCATTTTGTTTCTCTATTTTTTAGCCAGGCCACTGTTCTTCCTCCAAGTAGAATTCTACTAAGGTCTCCCAGCAGACAGGATCCATAGGAACAGCTAAATGTTGAGGAATTCCATGTCAAGTGAGGCAAATGGGAAGATACGTTTTATGGCAGAGTGTGTTTTGTTACTCATTGGTCCTGCTGTGGTATTTGAGCACAGAATTCCTAAGACTGTCCTCTATAAAGGGTCCATCAAAGAGGTGTTCCCATTGTTCTAGGTATTCCAGAAAAGACATATATATTTCTTGTGGTAGATGAAAATTACATGTATTATATCTTCAGATAGTTTTGGTACTTCCATAAACTTGGAAAATATTTAGCATAATTAATTGCTTTATATATTTTTAAAAAATCATTTATCATCCTAAATTTAACCCTTTTAGTAACAGAAGCATAGATAAAACAAAATAATTGTTATATAGCTGGACATTAAAATGTACTTGTGTCCTGCCTCTATTCCCAGTCAGGGCACATACCTGGGTTACGGGTTCCATCCCAGGTTGGGGAGCATAGAGAGGGCAACCAATCAATGTTTTTCTTTCACATGGATGTTTCTCTCCCCGCCTACTTTCTCCCTCCCTCCCTCCTTCCCTTGCTTTCTCTAAGCATGCCCTAGAGTGAGGGCTAAAAATAAGTAAGTAAGTAAGTAAATAAATAAATAAAATGTACTTATATTCTAAATTTCAGTTTATAGTAGACTTTCATTTACAAAGGGTTGAAAAATGAGTTAAAATTAGCCAACATGATAGAGATAGGCAGTGATTTATATAATTAAAATTTCCAAGGAGAGCAAAGTCAGGCATGGCTGGATCCAGGAGATCACACATAAATATCAGGATTCGTTCTTATTTTCTTTTTTCTATCAGCAGTTTCTTGTAGAAACTCACACTTAAATGACAAGAATGTTTTAAGTTTACATCCAATCCTTTCAACAAACTCTGTTGCAAATTAATGTCTTTCCTGTAACACAAGAAAGGTCTCGGATTGAGATCTATTTGGACTGAATTTTGTCACATGACCATAGCTGAGCAGGTATTTGACTCAGGCACAGATACCCTGAGCGACCCTGAGTGACCAGGCCTAGGTCACCGGCCCACGCATGCATCGAGGAGCCACCTGTACCTGCAACACATGTTCTCTTAGCTGAAAAGAGGAGCTTCCAGACAACAGAAACGAAAATGCTTTCCCCAGAAGAAAGGTGATTTCATTACTTGTGGGGAAAAGCACAGAACTCCCCAACACAGCCACATATAGTCACATTTAAAAGCATTACTTACTTACATTGTCCAGACTCTATCATCAGAATGAAATACAGTATCAGTTTACAGGTAAGTTTAAATGACACAAGTGTTTCAATTAAACTGAAATTAAAATATTTTTAACCAGCTACTCCATGTATGAACCCCTTCCCCACAATATTTGTCATCTAAAACTTATAATTAGCATGATTACTATTTTAATAATTATGATGCAAATAAAAATTTCTACGTGCCATAAAAGACACAAAAAATATTCTATCCGGGTCCAGAAATTCATCTAACATTTTTGTATTGTTGTTATGTCAGCCAAAACCTAGAGAATTTTGCAGATGTTGCTTCATTTGGTCATATCCTACCAGAAAAATCAGGACAGTTTTGGGGAAAACATTTGGAGTAGTTTTCAGACAAAGCTAGGACTTGGGAGATCAGAAACTTTCCAGGTGACAGGAAGGGAATATGTCAAGGCACAGAAACATGGAGTTATATCAGAAAATTTCTGAGGAAGGATTAGTTCTCTAGTTTTGTTAGCTAGAAGAAAGATAATGGTAGGAAGTAAGACCAGAAACACAGTTTGAGATCCTAATGGAGTGGACTTGCTGAACAGATTATGACTAGGGATTAATTGTAAATAACATCAAGGTTGTTGAGCATGGAAAATACCTAATTGGACATCCACATTTTGCTTCTCAGTGGGGTATTTAGCATCAGGATTTATTTGCTTCTTCCATATACCTCACTGTTGGTGACAAATGCATCAGGAAGTTTATGGAAATGGTTGCAGTCACTGGAGAGGCATTCCTCAGAAATCAGGCGCTAGCTCATCTCCCCAAATGCCTTGAGGTTCTTAAAAAGGCTGCAGTCATCTTTTTTTTTCTTTTTATGAAAGTCATTTTTATATGTACGTTTTGTTTATTTTTAGTTTGAGAATAGGTGATAGATACAGTGAGGTCGTTCAAAATCAAAATAAAACAAATATAAAACTTTTAGAGAAAATTTTTCTCACATTCTAATTTTTATATACCACATTCATCCCCATCTTAACCAAACAGGCAACCACTTTGTTTTTAAATCCTCATCTGAGGATATGTTTCCATTGATTTTTAGAGAGAGTGGAAGGAGAGGGAAAGACAGAGAGAAACATCAATGCGAGAGAAACACATCAATCTCCTGGCTGGGAATCAAACTTGCAACCCAGAGTACAACCCCAACCATGAACTGAACCTGCAACCTTTTGGTGCACAGGATGATGCTCCAACCAACTGAGCTCCCCGGCTAGGGTGTCAACCACATTTTTAAACTCTTTGTATTTTCTACATACACATATGTCTTGCTTTATTATGTTTAAAGGAAACATACTGTGCATACTTTGCTTTTTTTATTTAGTAATACCGTGGATATATTTCCATACTAAAAATAAATACAAGCCTATATAATTCTCTTATTTTTTTACAGCTGTACAGTATTCCACTGCATGGATATATCACACGATTGCAGTCTCATTAAACGTTTCACAGGCGTTTTCAATTTTTTGCTAATCCACGAATGTTTTAATGTAATTGTGAACACTTGAAAATATATCTATGGAATGAATTTCCAGAAATACTATTTATTTAAAAACCAAGAGATAAAATAATTTTGATAGTTATTGCCAAACTCTTCTTCATGTTAGTTGTAACTTTTTGAACTTCCCCTAGCACGTAATGAGGATGCTGCTGGAAGCTCCTTA